AAAAAAAAAAAAAAAAAAAAAAAAAAAAAAAATCCACTGATCATCCAAGCACAGCTCAAATAATTCTTGGAGCTTGGAATGCACGATCTTCCACCCCAAACAAGATTCGAGAAGACAACCAGATACCCACAACTCAATAAAATTTTCAAATTTCAAATTCCAAACTTCAAAGGTCAGAAATCAAGCACGAAGATCTAATATCGATCTCATGTACTAGGCCGATGATACCCTCCCAACAAACAAACAAACAAACAAACAAACCCATTAATATAATTCAATGCATTCATTGAAGACCATACTGATAGCCCTCACTCACACAAAGGCCTAAATAAACACTTTGAATGCCATCGGCTCCATTAAACATCATAATACTATGAACCTTTTACACCTCATGAATGCATACCTTTATATGGTGCTCTGATGATGATGCTGCTGCTGCTGCTGCTGCTGCTGCTGCTCATGACACCATCAGGACCATCCATCCAACAATGAGCTGCTGATTCAAAACATATGAGAGAGAAGCAGAAGAGAGAGAGAGAGAGAGAGAGAGAGAGAGAGAGAGAGAGAGGAAGAACTGAGACTTCAGCTGTACATCTGAAAGAAATTACTGTACAGAAGTACAATTTCTTTTAGCCGATTATGGGCTTTTTGTAAATTACAGGCTATGAAAAGTAAAAACTCAATTTCATGCTTACAAGCTTGGGAAACAATTTTTCACCTCTTAAGCTTCCCATGAGAATTCTGTATCTAAAGGCTTAATCCGAAAGCCCAAAATCTGTGGAGTTTTTATTATTACTGCACTGCCATGGTCTGTGTTCAGTTTCAGAAATTCATACACTCTGTTTTTTTTCTTCTTCTTCACCCATTGAAAAGCTTGGCAGTGGCTTCTTTTAAACATCTCTGAGAGAACAACATTGAATACAACAACGACAATACAGTATTTCAAGTCAAAAAGGTTATGAATTACTTGATATGGAAGCTGAAACAAGTTCGACGACAATACAGTATTTCAAGTCAAAAAGGTTATGAATTACTTGATATGGAAGCTGAAACAAGTTCGCGGTGGCGATAGCTAGGACCATCCTTGGCCGCGACTTCGAAAGATTTTTAAGACAAAAGATTCCAACTCCCATCTGCGTAGGTAGTTCATTTGAAGAATTGACGTTAGTAAAGAGATCAGAATCAATGTCCAACTCCCATCTGCGTAGGTAGTTCATTTGAAGAATTGACGTTAGTAAAGAGATCAGAATCAATGGCTTGATGATGATGCTGGGTTCATTTCAAATATGCATGCAAGCAAATGAGCAGGCCTTCTGCTATTAAGGATCAGCATTGAAACTCAGGGATTGTTTATTCATCCAAGACAAGAAATGAAGATAGCAAAATCAATGATGGGGCATCAGAATGCTATCGATCTGATGTCATCCAAGACAAGAAATGAAGATAGCAAAATCAATGATGGGGCATCAGAATGCTATCGATCTGATGATATATAGACAATTACCGACTGAATGAAAATGATTTCCATAGATTTACCTACCTATTAGCTTCATAGATTAAACACAAACAAAGAAATCATTGACCCCAAGATTCTCCTTTGCAAACCAAACCAGCATTCATAGATTAAACACAAACAAAGAAATCATTGACCCCAAGATTCTCCTTTGCAAACCAAACCAGCATAAGTTAATCGTTTTAGTAAGAATTCATTTTTTTTATACGACAATGATCGTCTGGAAAACGAAATTCTCAGTATGCCATCCTAATCTCCTTTCCATCAAAAGCTTATAGAACCTGTCATTCTATCAGGATCAAGAACAAGATCATATTAGCCAAATAATGCTTGATATTGACTCAGTATCGCATTGATTAAAGGCTTTTTTATCACTAGCATAGTAATACCGTGGTATTTTGAACCTGGCTAGACAAAATTCTGGTATGATTCACCTTTAAACGAATTTTTCTGTCATATCAAAATCACAACTATAAATTTTGGTGAATTTTTAGCAATAATAGAAAATTTCACCCATTCCTTTGGGAACCTTCCTCGTCATTATCATCGTCATTTAGATCTTCTAAACGTCACAAACTTCTTAGAAATCCTTTTTTTTTTTTCGTCATTATCATCGTCATTTAGATCTTCTAAACGTCACAAACTTCTTAGAAATCCTTTTTTTTTTTAATAACATTTCGTTCCTTCAACCTTCGGTTCTGTTGAGTGTTGCCTAAATGATAACAGATTCAAATTGAACAGAGAACCATTTCATGAAATCATTTTCACTTCAGAACCTCAGACTTGATAACAGATTCAAATTGAACAGAGAACCATTTCATGAAATCATTTTCACTTCAGAACCTCAGACTAGACTATCCCAAGAGAAACGAACTCAACAGTCAACTCGCATAAATTCAGAAGAAAATCATAATAAAATCAATCGTGTAAAAAGAATATTGTAATCAGGTAATTTAAGTAAACTTCAACAAGTATGTCAACTCCGCACAGAAAGGTGTTCAACAAAACTGAAATTAACCAGTAAAGTACAACCGCTAATACTAGAACAGATGAACTATTGGAATTTATCCTATAAGGACTGTAGAATGAGAGAATGACAGACGGCGGGGTCCGACTAACTAAATGCTTCAACCAATTAGAACACGAAAATTCCCAGAACAAGGATCAAAGAAATCAGCTGTAGATCCATCGCCCTACCATAAGATGGGTTAATATCAAAGTTGATGGATGCATTACTATAATATCATAAAAAGTACCACTAGAAAGATAGATCTATAAATAAATAGCACTTTGAATAAAAGTTATGTAATTGACGCTAAAGGGATATCATAAGACACAAAAACACAGAGCAGAAGTTGATCAACTGCAATATAAGATGAACCGAGAGTCTATTTTAATTATAAATCATACAAAGTGAGGAAGAATTTGGTTACCTTGGTTCATTGATCTCAGCATTCGTAGCTGCCCATACTCAAAATTAATAACCTTTTCAAACTTAGTTACAGATGGCAAGTTTCCCTGACCATTCATCAGCCACGCCATAGTCAATGCTAAGTTCCCTCAGAGGAGGGATATTCTCCATTGCAAACAACATAAGGTGAGGAAACATCAAATTATTATGATCATATAACACGAACTGCACCAACACGTTTGGCGATGTACTATGGCTTATATAACAGGCAACATTTCTCATTCTGGACACATCCATTGCGAAATCCAGAGGAGGAACAGAGGGGTATGATGGCCGCACATAATTAGAATATATTTGAGATAGATCGCCCCATTCTGCCCATCTATCCGAAAAACGATTTGGATATATTAATGTATCACCATTCATAGAAAGAACTTGAGCCTGTTCCCTCGTGAGGACAACTCCTGCATATTCACATATAAAAGCACCAGCAGGTATCAGGTCCAAGGATCTAACGCCCCAACCTGTTTCCCTGGACCTAAACACTTCAAGTCTGTGCTTCAATCCCTTCTGTGAAACACGATTCCGACATTGAGGGGGGCATTGACAGAAGGGTCCGCATTCGAAAATTATCGGTTTTCCTCTCACAAGACATCCATTTTGATCATAAGCAAACTCCCCACCATTTTTCATAGCACAAAAGCAATCATGAACACAACCTGAAACGCAACTGCATCCAGTACCGCTTCCTGATTGGTGAAAGGCGAATGGCGGAAACACAGTCCCAACAAGATACTCATAATACAATGGTTCTTGATCGTTGTCAATATCATTGAAGAGGAGAACTGGAACAGCCTCCTTCTTCATTGAAATATCGAGACTGAGATAACCAGAAGGCCTCAAAGACAATGGTTTAGACCTGAGATTCTCTGCAAATCTCAAAATGGAGCTGCCCATTTCGGCTTGACCATCAATCCTTAGAAGCTTAAACTTGTAAACACCAAAACCAGACTTCCCCACATCAAACCAACATTCGAGAATTCTATATAGACCATCGTATACATAAATCTTACTTGTTACACTGCCGGCGTACTTCATACCTCGTATTACTCTCACTTCAATCCCGTAGTGCATGCTTCTCTCCAGTGCAAGGTTCCCACCTTCAAGCTTCTGGTGCATACATTGTTTTGAAAATTTGTCTTGCCCACCATGACCCGTATAGATTATCGTGTCTCCAGAATCCTCATCGTCCTCATATCCACCAGAAACAATCACGCTAGTGGCAATTGGCTCGCCGTTGGAGCTCTGACTCGCAGGAACATAGTCAATTCCAGCTTGAGCCTGACCGTGCAATCCAACAACACACAATTCCATCCTAAAGAAGAACAGATCGCCAATGTGCACTCCAGGAATCGAACCAACAATCCGTTTGTCGCGATTCAGCCACAGACCGCGCTCTCTCATCAAGGACGAAGCTCTCAAATCACTCCGAAGTCGCCGGATTAGTCCCGAACTCTTCTCCTCCTCCGGCATCGATAACACGCGCAATGAATCAAAAACCATCCTGGTTCGTCTCACCACATCTCGGAAATACCTCTGGTCATCAACCCCAAGATCAGTCACTCTCACAAGTTCAGAAGATCTTTTATCATACCTCCTCTTAGAAACGACCATAGTAGACATATGATTCTCATCAGGAACCGGGACAATTGCCCGAGAATCAGGATCCACAACTTCAACATCCCCATTGCTCTGAGATCCTTTACCAAAAGCAGTCCTAAACAGCTGAGAAATGCGGTAAAATTCGGAATAAACACTGTCCTTATCAGAAGAAATGGACGAAGACTGAGAAAACGGGTGATGATTCTGGTCAGAAAAAGGTGTACGAGCAAAATCCGAGTTAGAGAAAAAATTCGAAGAAGTGCTCGACAAGAAACGTTCCTGAACTGGTTGGGATTGTTGGGTCACCGGAGTCTGATAAACATCGTCGAACGGCTCGAGCTTCGGCTCCAATTTAGGGGTCAACAACCTGCCAGTTTCAACAAATTTATTGACAGAAGAGTTGATTGTGGCTGATTTAGGGGAAGTTGCGGCCGCCATTACAGCAGTAGATGGGTCGGGCAGAAGATTGAGGTCCAGAAAGGGGATAGGAGAATCCATTGCGGTAGCAACGTCCGAATCTTTCCAAGCACTAGAATCACGGAGGTCTGGACATGGAAGATCGCTTTCCGGTCAGGTTCTGCTAGGGTTTTGCAGAGAGATCAGTGTGAGCTTCCATGGCGTAATTTGAAGGCATAACCAAAATTCGAGCACAATTTGCAAGAACTCAGCTCCTGATTTTTGCTTTTTATTTCCCTCGACTTTTCATTTTCAAGCCTCATTTCCATTTCTTGGCTTCCATTTTCGTACGATATTATGCTTTAATCTCCTCTCCCTCCTCTATTTACCTTTCTTCACCCCACTCAGTAAAACCTACCCTTAATTTTACCTCGGTAAAAAAAGGTTAAAAGTTCCCATCTTTACCTCAAATCTAAAACTTTTATTAGAAAATAATACTTTTTAAATATATCAATAACATTATAATTTTATAAATATAGTAATTATTGTATATCATTTTTACATATTTATCCATTTTTATACTCTATTGTTAATAGATGTAAATTATATTACTACCAAAAAAAACTATCCCAAGTTTCAAGGATATTTTAGTCTTTTCAACATAGTAATTAAAAATTTAATATATAAAATTTTATAATTAATTTTTGTATTAATATATATTAATTAATCTATTAGTCATTAAATTCATATAAATAAATAAATAAAATGTGTATGTGTTGGGTTGTTATAAAATTATGAACGGTCTCTGATCTCTAGTTCGATAGGATGGTATCGTTGTGGAATACGTATAATTCCTAAAATAACCTTTATGCGTTAATTTGAGATTGGTGAAAAAAACTTTCGTTTTAGAAAAAAATTGAAATAGTTTTTTTACTGTGGTAAACGAGTTCAATGGTTTTTGAACCGACGATAATTATCTGATGACGTTTTTTTTCATGCTTATAATTTAAGCCATAGTTATGGAAATGATGATCCTTCATTTTCTCGTACTTGTTACCATAAGTGTATTTTTTTACCATATTTGAATCATCGATATGTTACCGATATTGTTTGTTAATTTCTCTTTATCGTTAAAACAAGACAAAAACATCATGCAACGGTTTCAAATAAAACGTATTTGGAATTAAATGAATAAAACTACCAATCTGTCCTGACCCATCACGAGAAAAACTTTAGTTGATTATTTTATATCATACGTTATAACATAAACCACGTGAAAGACGGAACTTTCTCGAGTAGGGTTGTGGTTTATACTTTTTATAAAAATATTTATAAAAATTATTTAAAAAAATAAAACTCACAAATTATAAACAATTATAATTTATTTATATAATCACTTAATTGAAAAAATAAATAAATTAAAAGCAAAATTTTAAATCTCAAAATTTTTCGCATAAGACAAACTTTCCCAATGTTCGGCAACGATTATACCGAGGAATTGAGTATCCATATTTTAATTAATTATAATTAAAAATAAATTTGGGGAATTAAAATTAAAAGCTTAAAAACTCATTTAATTATTATAAAAAACTTTAAAATTTTATTTGATACGATAATTTAATAATTAGGTTTATAATTTAAAGTATAATTATATTTAAAATTTAATTAAAAAAAGTATATTAAAACATTACTTTTTTCCGATCGAAAATATATATTCTTATTGTATACGAAAATTATTATAATTATTTAAATTAATTTAAATAGAATTTTTATTTTAAAAATAAATAAATTTTAGTTAGTGAGATATTTATTTTGATAATTTTAACTTTAATTAATTTATCTTTAAATAGTGTGATTTAACTATAGTAATTAAAATAGGCATATGATTTTAATTGTAATTATTTAATATGATTTTAATTTCCCTTTTAAAAAAATAATTGTTATGAAAAATATAATCAACCCTTGTAATTCTTAAAATTTTAATTAGAGAATATGACATTTTTTTGTATAAGAAAGTTGAAAGTCAAAAATTAAAATTAAAAATAATAGATTTACCAAATAGAGTTAAAATTCTTCCGGTATCACTTTTTACTTTTGACCGTCCAATGGGAATCGAAGGCAAGAACAAATTCTTTTTTTTTTTTTAATCTAAAAAATATTTATAATCTCAATAATATTCTTAAATTATTGTTGTAAAGTTTCAACATAAATATTTTTTTGAATTAAAAAATATTCTTATAAATATTTAAAAAATGTCGATTCAATGTACTTAACCTTTATAAAAAAAAAAAAATCTAAAAATTCTTGTTATGAATATATAGATAGAAATCGTCTATCTACGTTTTATATGATTATCTCATTTTTTTTAATTGTAAGGGTAGAATGTTAGCCATTGAAACAAATTAAAATTTGTAGATAAAAATTAATAATCTACTTTCCAAAATTAAATCGAAATTTTCAAAATTAAATAAATAGAGAGATTTATTCACATCTAAATTAAATTAATAAGGAAATAAATATGAGTTTTATAAATAAAAATAAAAATGGGGATGTAGCTCAGATGCTAGAGCGCTCGCTGATACTCGCATATTTTATTTGATTAAAAATAATTTTTATAATAAAATCATTTTCCAATTTACTGTAATTTTGAAAAAAGCAAGACTTTATTTGGTAATTTGTTTTCTACATTTTGGATTTATTTAAATTTCAAAAATTGAAAATATTTTTTTTAGACAGCTTAGTTGTTAGAGAGCAAAGCTCTTAACTTGTGGTCGTGGGTTCGAACCCCTAAAATGATAGTTCAAAGATTTTTATTGATACAATTGTCGTAGAAGGATTCCCATCTCTTCTTTTCGTTTGTAGAACGACTCAACTTTCAATTAAAATCCTAATCACTCAAACAATTTTGGAACTTATTTTTCCCTTTTCATGAAATCCATCGATACATCTTAAACGTTCTACCATCTGCAAGAGTCAGGATCATGGTACCAACTCAAAATTCGCCTTCAAAAGATGAAGAACTTCACCAAGTGTAGATGCTTTAAAATCTGGTTCGAGATCCGTGTTGGCGTAATGCTCCGAGTTGTACCTTCCCGTTTCGTCTAGCAAACATGTGAACGCTCCGGCTTGCTTGCCACATCCAATCTGAATGATAGGAGAGGAAGTCAATCTTTCTGTAAGGGAAAACTATAAACTTAACAAGATCATCATCTTGGTTGAAAACCTAATGAATAATAAAAAAGAATACACTCACATCATCTTTGAGGCTATCGCCAACCATAATGACTTGGTTAGGTAGGACGTCCCAAGATGAGCAGATATGAAGTAGCGGAGCGGGATTTGGTTTATATGAACCGAATTCCCTGCTTAATGCTGGATGAAATGTCCACTGCAGCAATAGCAAGTGAAAGTTATTACCATTAAAGACTTGAGAACATGAGGGCTTTAATTTTCTCATGAGGATACACAGTAAACATTATATAATGTACTATATTCTAGTAGCATAAGCTTACAACAAACCAATATCCGTATCCTAGAAAAAGAGAGATTTTCCGGAATCAAAGAAGACCCTTTTTGTAACGGCGCAAGTCCTCCACCGCTAGTAGATATTGTCTTCTTTGGGTTTTCCCTCAAGGTTTTTAAAACGCGTTAGTTAGGGAGAGGTTTCCACACCCATATAGCAGATATTGTCCTCTTTGGGTTCGGACTTTCTCTCAAGATTTTTATAACGCGTTTGCTAGGGAGAGGTTTCCACAACCTTATGGTAGATATTGTCTTCTTTGTGCTTTTCCTTTTAGGCTTTCCCTGAAGGTTTTTAAAACACTGCTTGGGAGAGGTTTCCACACTTTTATAAATAATGTTTTGTTCCCCTCTCTAGCTCTAACCTTTTTGTTCTTTTGTTCCATACAAGGAAAGCTCTGGCAGAATTCAACCAAAGGACTTCAGCTTTCTCGAATGGATAATCTCTGAGGAGCAAGAAAGTTCAGGTGGTTCGAGAGGAGCAAAATCCAGAGGCTCGACGGTGAAAACGAAGTGAGGAGCAAGAAAGTTCAGGTGGTTCGAGAGGAGCAAAATCCAGAGGCTCGACGGTGAAAACGAAGGTGGTTTTTCATCGAGGAGAAATTAGAAATTAAGGATCTTTTTTAGGCTTCTGTTTTGGCCTCTTGGGTTATCTATGCTACCCATCATTAGCTCCCATATGAATATTTCACTCTTTTTTGGGCATCTATCTTTCCAAATCCAATTGAGTATGATGGGGCATAGAATTTTAAGGGCTCTAAGAGTTTTCTAAGAGAAGTGGTTTGCAAGATATTATATGAATGTTTGAGAGATAGAGAAATATAGAAGATGAATAGAAGGACAACTTTTTAAAGCCCAGATGTCTGTAAAGCTAGAAATACCTCAATTTCTTAGGAAATAGCAATCTGGGCTAGCAACTGAGAGGAACCCAAGGCATGAAATGAAGCCAGCGTATGCAAATAATGCTCAAAGGGGTGATACCTCAACAGAGAGAACTTCTTAGAGACTGAGAAATTTTCTACATAAATAATGCTCAAAGGGGTGATACCTCAACAGAGAGAACTTCTTAGAGACTGAGAAATTTTCTACATACTATCGTCCTAAAGAGTAAATAAGAGTGACGGAGCCAATGCTGATACCTGAACAAGACAGATGAAACAATCTCCCAACCGTTTGACTCGGGATTCAAGCATTATTCGAGTTAATGTAAGCTCTAAATATGAAACAATCTCCCAACCGTTTGACTCGGGATTCAAGCATTATTCGAGTTAATGTAAGCTCTAAATTGTATTATGGCAGTTGTGATTGGGAGAAATCTCATGCTCTTAGTAGTTAAGCTCAATCCATCATTCTATTGCGGTGGAATGGTGAGATCTCACATCGGTTGGGGAGGACAACGAAGCATTCTTTATAACGGTGTGAAAACCTCTCCCTAGCATACGCGTTTTAAAAACCTTAAGAAGAAGTCTAAAGAGAACAATATTTGCTAGTGGTGGGCTTCGGCCGCTATAATTGGTATCAGAGCTAAACACCAGGCGATATGCCAGTGAGGAGATTGAGCCCTGAATAGGGGTGGATACGAGGTAGTGTGCCAGCAAGGACGTTGGGCCCCAAAGGGAGGTCGATTGTGAGTTCCTACATCAGTTGAGGAGGAGAACAAAGCATTCTTTATAAGAGTGTGGAAACTTTTCTCTAGCAGATACGTTTTAAAAAACTTGAGGGGAAGCTCGAAAGGGAAAGTTTAAAGAGGACAATATCTGCTAGCAGTGGGCTTGGACCGTTATAGTTGGTATTAGAGCCAAACACCGAGTGATGT